GGTCTCCTCCCTGGGCAGACGGCAGAGGTCAGGCAGTGGCCCGACCTGGGACTGCTGCTTCCACGCCTCCTCCCCCCGCCCCCGCCCCAGTCCGCTCCAGCTCACTTGATGCGCACGCCGATGGACCTCCGGAAGGCCTGTGTCAGAGCCTCGGTCCTGCTCATCTCCAAGGAGAAGGTCTCGCTGCCCGCAATGGCCGTGGAGGGGTTGTCAGGGCCCAGTGCCTGGGCCATGCCTATGGCGATGGCTGTCTTCCCCGTGCCAGGCTGCCCGGCGACGAGGACCGCCCGGCCGGCAATCTTCCCTTCTCGGATCATCTCCAGCACCACGTCTGCTGCCCGCCGGGCTGCCAGCTGGCCCACCATGCCCTGGGAGGCCTGCCGGGGCTCCAAGGCGTCGTCCAGTCCCAGCCCCCGGGTGTGGGAGTGAGCACCAATGGGCTCAATCCTGGTCACGTCTCGGATCTCTGGGACCTTGGTTGTGGCCGCAGTTGCCATGATGCTCAACTTTCCCTTGAGAGATTTGAAGTCCCCTTGTACATTCAGAGAGTGTAATAGACATCTGCAGGTGCTTTAGGAGCTGATTAAGGATGTGCCTGACTTAGTTTCTTGCTTGTATTTTTTGAAGACGCTATTTCATGTGTAAATTCCAATTTGGTTGTCCGCTTTTTGACTTTTGGCTTAATATTTTGAACACTTCCGTCTTCTTCTTTTCGTAGCGTCTCTGAGTTTCTTCTCGCTCCTGTTTCCTCCCTCAAATTCCTGTTTCTTAGCAGCACGTTTGGCTTGTATCTGTGAATGTTCTTCTTGCGCTTTCTGATGGGATGCTTTCTTTTTCTTTAGAGGTGCAAAGGAGCTCACGGTCGGTCATGCTACCTTGTTCTTCTGGCAGAGGAGGGCCCGGGCTGCCCTGTTCTGCAGACAGAGCCTGGCCAAGGCTGGCGTGCTATTGTGGCCAAGGCAGTGCACTTGTTCTTCTGACCAAGGCTGGGGCACATCTCTGATTCCCTTCTTGAGTCTTTTCTCTTCAGCTAAACAGAGCTGTTTCAGGTGGTCTGGGGATCCGCCTGTGAACTGGGAGTCCTGTGAGGTTTGAGCCTTTCTTTCCTTCCAAA